AGGCTACAACCACTCTTCACATGTGTTTTATGAATCATCTGGTATTGATAATCTGGCTCCTTGCTTTGTTAGTATAAACTGCGTATTGATACTTTTTCAGAAGGAAAGGAGATTGAAAATGCTGATTCAAATTATTCTGAACAAATAACATACGTCGGTTCACTGTCAGTTGGTCTGTAACACAATTGTCTATATATTAAATTAGGAGTTAGTGTTCAATTTAAAATCAAATGGGAAAAGTTTAAGTCACATAGAATGCAGTATGTCAGAAATTTGCAGCGTAAGCTCTCTAAGCCTCAAAAAATCTCATTATTTCATAGAATGTTTGGCTGTTTGAATTTACCCATAGGCACATGGGAAGAAAGACCCAGTGATCTGCTTCTGAAAGGGTAACGACAATGGCAAACACCTTAACTGATCAAAAGGTCTCCTGAAACACCTGGGGTTGCTATGAGTTAGAATTGACTCTAGGGTTTGGACTTTGGTTTTTCATTGAAATACAGTCTTAGCAAAATAACTTTTGGCAATTATATGGAGCCAGCTCTGATGTGGCACTGTAGGATAAGCACTGGACTGCTAACAACAAGGCTGGAAGTTCAAACCCTCCAGCTGCTCCTTGGAAAACCTGTACAGGGTTACTTACTATGAGTCAGAACTGACTCCGTGGCCCTTAACAACACAGACATACAGGTATCTTCCATCTTTTTAAAGTTTGTTTTACAACATTTTGCTTTTATGGAAGGATCTACATTAGTACTTGTTTTAACTAACCAAAAGAAGTTCCTTAAGGATTTTCACAGTTATGAAAAAAATGAAAAGTATTTAGCATTTGTTTTGCAGTGAGCCATTAAAGAGGCAGCAGTTCCCACCCTGAGCAACTAGAGTCTACAGTGGAGTGGCCAAGCTTCTCCCCCAGAACTACACTCAGCATCTCAGCACCAACCTACCATAGAACATAGAACTGTGTCTGTGATTTTAGGTTTTATACATTATTTGTTATGATTTGGTAGGTTTCTTTGGGGGGTAGAGGCGTCTGAGAACATGCAAAACGTTTTCCCATATAAATTGATGGTAATTGGTTCTTTATTTTTTGTTTTTCCCTTCAGGCAATTTTGGCTCATGAGTGGGATTCATAGTAATGTTCTACTTTTGGATAATGGGAAAAATTATTTGACCAGGATGTGTACTGGTGTTTGTTTATATGTCTAATGTTTTCTCAGTTATTTTTGTGAATATTTTGATGTTAGAGACTTGAATATTCATAGGACTACATTGTTGTTTCTTCATGTAGTATGTTGTTGTTGTTATGTGCCATGGAGTCAGTTCCGACTCATAGCGACCTTGTACAGGGGTTCCGAGGCTGTAAATCTTTACGGGAGCAGAAAGCCTCATCTTGCTCCTGTGGAACAGTTGGTGGTTTCGAATGGCTGACCCTGAGGCTAGCAGACCGAGTCGTAACCACCACACTACCAGAACTCCTTATAGGTCCTACAAACTGGTATTGGTATACATTTTGTTCTTGAACCCCTTTATATTTTCAAAATTTGTTGAGAACCACAAAAATCTTCTGTGAGTTATTGTCTAATCAGTAGTTATTGTGTTAAAAATGTTAAATTAAAAGAATTGTTTATTTACATGAACAATATCTAACTGAATAGCAAACACTTGGATTCTCATACCTGCATTCATTCTTTTGAAGTATGGTATGTCCTCGTGTGACACTGTTGGCTAATGCGCCAGACTGCAAAGCCGTTTGAACTGCAAGATCAGTGGTTCAAGCTCACCAGCTGCTTGCTCCTTGGAAACCCTATACAGGGTCGTTATGGGTTGGAATTGATTCAGTGGCCCTTAACAACAATGATTTTGGAGTCCAAAGGAGCTCTGGTAGCGTAGTGGTTACGAATCGGGCTGCTAACTTCACGGTCAGCAGTTTGAAACTACCAGTGGTTCCGCAGGAGAAAGATGAGGCTTTCTGCTCCCATAAAGATTTACAGCTTTGGAAACCCTGTTACAGAGTCACTATGAGTTGGAACCAACTCCACGGCCCATAACAACAACAACTGTCTGGAGTCCTGGTGTGGTGTTGTGGACTAATGCGCCACACTGCGAAGTCATTTGAACTGCAAGGTTGGTGGTTCAAGCTCACTAGCTACTCCTCAGAAACCCTATACAGGGTTGCTATGGGTCGGAATCGACTCCATGGCACTTAACAACAACAACATTCTGATATTACCCCTAAAGTAGACAAGTAGTTTCATAAAGACTAGCTGCAGTGTAGAAGCTACAACTGTACCAGTGAACTTTTGTGTACTCTGTCACATTAAAACCCATGTAGAGGCCTTGCATTTGGAATAAATTTTTCTCCATACATGATTTTGTAGCATCATGTATCAGTCATTTGGAAGATACTGGTTCACTGAGTTATGTCGATCTTTCAAATGATGCATTTGATCATGTGGTATCATAAATTCACATTCATTAACATCACCAATTTGTTAAAGCAGTCACAACTCTTAATTATAAAGAAAATGGAGGCAGATAAAAGTTTCACATAATTCTAATTTTCACTTTGAAACTCAAAGTATTTATTGGCAATAAATATTGTCTATTTTCTTTGAAGAGATTCACTTTGCTCATTCAAGTGCAAGAAAAATGTCTCTGAAATAACCTGAGTAACCATATTTTGTCAGTTGTAGTGCCAAGTAAAAATAGTGCTCCATGAAGCAAGCTTCTTGTTCAGCTTGCCACTCATTTGTACAAGTGCTTTTCCTCAGATTCTGTAAGGTATTCAAAATGCTTTGTGTTTTGTTTTTTTTTCCATTTCACCACATAATATATATTTTTTTAAAATTAAATGTTTTAATTTTGGATTGAGTGAAAGTTTACAGGGCACATCATCAGTTTCACATTCATCCATTCATATAGCTTGTTTCATTACATTGATTATTATCCCTTCCATATATCATCAGTTTACAGTGTTTCTCTCTATCCTCTTTAGCTTTTTTTTTTTTTTTTGACGGACCACATAGTATTTTTAAAAACGTACTCAGGTGTTGAGATTTTATAAAATTTATATTTTTTTTGTACTGAATGCCTCTGAGGACATTCAGTCTGTTTTTTTTTTGAACTGGAAATGAGTGGTGAATATAGTGACTTAGCACATAATGCATTTGGTTTCCTTTTTAAATCTCATATCTTTAAAGAGAGTTCCTGAAAACACACCCTATACAAATCCTATCTCATTAACATAATAAAGGCATTTCATTCGCAAATAGAATTAATAACCAAAGGCATAGAGATTAGGATTTGCAGCACATGCATGGGGCTTCAAAAAGTTTGTGAGCAAAAGGAATAAAAAGATAATGGAATGTTTTCATGAACTTTATGAAGCCCTCCTATTTTGGGGGGGATCATAGTTTAATTCATGACACATAATGAGATTACTGGTGACCTTTCAGAGCAGAGGACGAAAAAGTCAGATTATAGAAAAAATGCAGAGGCAGCTGTTTATTCTATTTTTTCATAATGTTTTGGAGTAAAGGGAAAGAAACAGGTGGGCAGTGATTTGAGAGGTTGGCGCTGTGGGTTAATGCGCCAGATTGCAAAGCTATTTGAAATGCAAGGTTGGTGGTTCAAGCTCACCAGCTGCTCCTCAAAAACCCTATACAGGGTTGCTATGAGTTGGAACCAACTCGACAACACTTAACAACAACTACAGACAGGAAGGAGACCTGGTGGTGCTTTAGGATAGGCACTGGACTGCTAACCTCATGGTCAGTAGTCAAACTCCTTGGGAATAAGATAAAGTTGTTGGCTCCCATAAAGATTTATAGTCTCAGAAACCCTATCTAGGGTCATTCTGAGTCACAGTAGACTCCATGGCAGTGGCTTTAGGTTTTTACTGAAGATGGGATTTGAGTAAGGCTGAGAGAGAGGGGCTAGTAGGAAAGACATGATGAGCAATCTATTCTTAAAGAAAAGGAACTCGTGACACAAATTGCTATAAATAAGTGTGGTACACTGGTGTGGTGTTGTGGGTTAATGCACTGGACTGCAAAGTCGGTTTGAACATCAAGGTTGATGGTTCAAACTCACCAGCCGCTCCTTGAAAACCCTATACAGGGTCACTCTGAGTTGGAACCGACTCGTTGACACTTGATAACAACAACACTTATGGTATGATCTATACTTGAAGAGTCCTGGTGTATGGCACTGGATCGCAAAGTTGATTTGAACTGCAAGTTCGGCAGTTCAAACTTATCAGCCCCTCCTTGGAAACCCTAATCAGGGTCTCTGTGAATTGGAATTTAACAACGATACTTGAAGTGAAAAGCTGATGTAAACTAGATTCCCTGGCCAGAAAAATGTGAGTGAATAAATGCCTTTGGCACATAAAAATTTCTGGTGAGGCGATAGAGAGTTTCATACTCATTCTTTTTTGATTTCTTACTGGGTATTTGATTAATTTCTGAGGATTAGGAGGCTTCACCATAAGAATGATTCTTGTCAGGTGAGTGATTTGAGAAAGAAGAGGTGGAGGAAGGGATCCTGGCAACATCAACATATAAAGGTCTGAAGGAAGAGAGAGGACAACAATAGTGTCAAGGACAGCAAGAAAAGAGAAATTCAAGAAGGATGGGGTGGTCAGTTTGCTATAAACAAACTCAACTTCAAGATGGTTATTTTCCCTTGAAGTGCACGCAGTTTAATAATTTGTGATTCTCTCAAAATGATGCTATTTTGGCAACTTTCAGTCTGCGATTATTGACAGGAAAGAATCGGGGAGGAATTTTTTCTTGTGCAGATTGTGTGCAACCACTCTTCCAAACCCCCTGCCCCAAAAAACATTTGGGTGTCCAGAATGATGTTAGTGTTTTTTTTTTTCTGGAGGTTGAATTTGGAATTTAGCCTTAAGCAGTAGTGTGTCTATTAAAAACACATGTTGATTTTGAATGCACTTGTATTTCTAACTTCCTTTTCTTTTTTTTTTTTTCTTCTAGTCTGTTCTGTGGGGAGGCAGCCAGGGGCTGTGGAGCTGGCCTCAGCACCGGGAGAGGCTGGACTTCCTGTCTCTCTGTGCTGAATGGCTGCGATGGCGCCCGCTCTCACTGACGCAGCAGCTGAAGCACACCACATCCGCTTCAAACTGGCTCCCCCGTCCTCCACCTTGTCGCCTGGCAGTGCCGAAAATAACGGCAACGCCAATATCCTCATCGCTGCCAACGGAACCAAAAGAAAATCCATTGCTGCAGAGGATCCTAGTCTAGATTTCCGAAATAATCCTACTAAGGAAGACTTGGGAAAGCTGCAACCACTGGTGGCATCTTATCTCTGCTCCGATGTGACATCTGTTCCTTCAAAGGAGTCTTTGAAATTGCAAGGAGTTTTCAGCAAGCAGACAGTCCTTAAATCTCACCCTCTCTTATCTCAGTCCTATGAACTCCGAGCTGAGCTGTTGGGGAGACAGCCAGTCTTGGAGTTTTCCTTAGAAAATCTTAGAACCATGAATACCAGTGGTCAGACAGCTCTGCCACAAGCACCTGTAAATGGGTTGGCTAAGAAATTGACTAAAAGTTCAACACATTCTGATCATGACAATTCCACTTCCCTCAATGGGGGAAAACGTGCTCCTACTTCATCTGCTCTCCAGGGAGGTGAAGCGGGGGGATCTGAATCTGGGGACTTGAAGGGGGGTATGACCAATTGCACTCTTCCACATAGAAGCCTTGATGTAGAGCACACAACTATATTTAGCAATAATAGCACTGCAAGCAAATCTTCTGGAAATTCCATGGAACAGCCGGCACTTCAAGGAAGCAGTAGGTTATCACCTGGCACAGACTCCAGCTCAAACTTTGGGGGTGTCAAGTTAGAGGGCAAAAAATCTCCCCTGTCTTCCATTCTTTTCAGTGCTTTAGATTCTGACATGAGGATCACGGCCTTACTGCGGCGGCAGGCTGATATTGAGAGTCGTGCCCGTAGGTTACAGAAGCGCTTACAGGTTGTGCAAGCCAAGCAGGTGGAGAGGCATATACAGCATCAGCTGGGTGGATTTTTAGAGAAGACTTTGAGCAAACTGCCAAACTTGGAATCCTTAAGGCCTCGGAGCCAGTTGATGCTGACACGAAAGGCTGAAGCTGCCTTGAGAAAAGCTGCCAATGAGACCACCACATCAGAGGGCCTCAGCAACTTCCTGAGAAGTGATTCAATTTCAGAAGAATTGGAGAGATTTACAGCCAGTGGCATAGCCAACTTGAGGTGCAGTGAACAAGCATTTGATTCAGATGTCACTGACAGTAGTTCTGGAGGGGAGTCAGATATTGAAGAGGAAGAGTTGACCAGAGCTGATCCTGAGCAGCGCCATGTACCCTTGTGAGTAAACCCATGTATAATGTCCTCGAGAAATGCTGAATCAGGGGGAAAGATTTTGTGAATTCCCACTATGGAGAGGATGGGATGCTTTCCTTAGGTTCCATATGTCTTTTTCTAATTTTAGGTCAATGGGTGGCATATATCTGCTTAGTGATAAAAAGGGAAGATATTTCTGAGGTAGTGTTTTGTTGCTATAGGCTAAAAGTTTTTATTTTTTAATAAGGAAAAAAGACAAACCAAGACTTAAGACATCCTAAAAGTGTGTAAGCGCTACTCTCTTTGGAAGTGAATATTGAGTTTGTATATAGGACATTTTTGTAAGCTGTTAGGACTTTTGACTGTTTAGATTTTATTTCAGTGAGTGGGTACAAATGTTTAGTTGACCTAGCTAAATTTACTGGAATTTATAGTTGTTTTTAATTGAACCTTCACCAGAGAACACATCCAGTCTCCTATTTTAATAAGATATTTTTTTTATTTTAAGGACTAACAATTGGAAAATACTAGAGTGTTTCGTAGGTTGTCTTTAAGCACAGTCTGCATTTACAACTGGATTCTCTTTTTATAAAAGAGCCAATCTTTATCAGACTGGGATTTTATTTTCTCTCAGCTAAGTTAAATATGCTGACATATCTGGGGTAAGTTCTTACTGGTTTTTCCAAGTTTGTTGGATTGACTTGAGAAAATTCTACGTAAGGTCTTTGTGAATGGTATCCCAAACTGTCATGGTGGAACAGAGGTGCGTCATTCTTATTCTTCCTTCCAATCCTTCATTATCTGTTGTAAGTGCTAGACTTCTGAGACGGAAATATGAGAAGCTGGAAAAGAGGTTGGGCAAGGGGAGCCGACTAGTAGATCAGCTTTCATTTCCTCTTTGGGTAGGGATGCTGTAAAAGCTGCTTTATTCTAAAGAAGGATGAAATGGGTGGATATGTTGGAACAAGTAGTTTTTCCTTGTCTTAGAAAAGGTGACTAAGATTTTCACAGGAGTTTGGCTCTTGACAACTATGCTTTTCAATAGAAAATTTCCTATTTTCTTTAATTTGTTTATATTATTCAAACGCACAATATTGTGTATCTGAACATTGAAACTTTATTTTATGATTTTATTTTACAGGAAAAAAATCTGTGTAAATTTTGTCAAATTTCTTCTTTTTAGACCTACCCACATGATCATTTGATAATTCACTGTGCTCAAAGGTCCTCTTCTATATTCAGATTGAAAGCAGATAGGTTTCTTGGGCTTGCTGCTACTATAACATAGCTATCTTTTGTTAAATGGATTAGTAAGTCATCTTGCCAATATTTGTGGCATTATACCCACTGACTTTGCTGCATAAACTACTTTAAAAATTTTTCATTAACATTAAATATTTTGTGCTTAAAAATAATTTCATATTGACATTTGACATATAGTCAAATCATATGGACTTATTTTGTATATTTGAGAAAACAATCGAGAAAGTTATTAAGTGCTGTGGAGTCAGTTCCAACTCATCATGACTCCTGTACAGGATTTCCAAGGCTGTAAATCTTTTCGGGAGTAGAAAACCTCATTTTTCTCCCTCTCTAGAATATATCGGAGTCCTGCCGTGGCGCTGTGGGTTAATGTGTCAGACTGCAAAGCCGTTTGAACTGCAAGGTTGGCGGTTCAAGCTCACCAGCTGCTCCTCGGAAACACTTACAGGGTTGTTATGGGTCGGAATCGACTCAACGGCACTTTACAACAGCAACAATAACTAGAATATATAAGCTTAGGTTTTCAGGAGACATTGTATTGAAAACATCTCTGAGTTTCGATAGTGTTGGTAAGTGTTCTAACCCAGTGAAACCCCAGAGAACATTCCACAGGATAATCTAGTAACTTTTAGTCCATTTATTACTTTGTTTGGGACATTCTTCTCACATAATAGTGCATCGATTGGCAGGGTGTGAAGTATAAGGACAGCCAAGGGATCATTTTAGAAAACTTTGGGGAAGCGGTTAAATCCATTTGTAATGAAACCAACTAAATAATTCTTTAAAAACATGAATTTCCATGTATCCATGTTATTTTCATGTTAAAATATGGATATTAGAAGTATTGTCAAGTAATAAATTTTTGTACATTATTGTATAGTTGATGTGAAATTAATACCCATCAGTAATACAGAAATATTTTTAAATTTCTTATTAAGCAAGGTCACCAGATTGACTCTTAAGACTGGTATTTAGCCAGCTGTTTGTTGACCTTTTGAGTATTTGAAGGGTATTTTAGCAGTTGGCCAGATAATAAGGGTAGTGACATTGCTTTAATTAAAACAAGAATGGGAAAAAAAAGGCAGTTGTTCTTTTGACTCAGCTACGCTTTATCCTTGTGACCTAATTGTCGCTCCCAAATCTCATAACTACGTTGGTAATTTCAGTCTTGTTATTAGAAATTAGTTAACTCTTTAGGAGCGTGACCCAGTTGGTGACTTGTCAAGTTTGTTTGTTTCTAATTTTTCCCCTTCCAGTATCTTGTCTGTCATAATTGTACTCCTTTTCTGCAGTACCTCTGCAGGAGATACAGGAGGACTTTACAAAGTTGTGGGAAAATTCCATTACCTTTGAATTCCACTTTTCCATGAACGTTTTGAAGCCCCCTCGTATAAACCAGTTGCTGTCAAGTCACAGTGTGATGCTATGTGTGTCAGAGTAGAACTGTGGTCTGTGAGATTTTCAGTACCTGATTTTTCAGAAGTAGATTGCCAGACCTTTTATCCGAGGTGCCTCAGGCATATTCAAACCTCCAAATTTTTAGTTAGCAGCTGAATACATGTGAACCTGCTGCACCATCCAGATATATAGGGGGCTTGATGATTCAGTTTAGGCAGCCATGGTGAAAATATTTAGTAAAGAAGAATGCTGAAATGAGTTGTTTCAAAATGAGGTTTCTTCAATTACAAATGGGTGATTTGTGGACCCTACAAGCCCTTCACCAAGAATTCAGTTGTCCTTTTGCCCCTACCTTCAAGAGGAAGGACACTTGGTGTGGCACTGTAGGATCAGCACTGAACTGAGAACCACAACAAGGTCAGCACTTCAAGGCCACCCACCAGCTGCTCCTCAGAAACCCTATACAGAGTCACTGTGAGTTTGAACCAACTCAGTGGCACTTTGCAACAACAACTTCAAGACAAACAAAACCCTATTTGAAGTCCTAATGTGATAACCACCACCACCATATGATGATAGTCTAGTGGTAGCAGAGTGGTTGAGTTTTATATGTTGTTACATTTTTGGTAAATTGTATGTTTGCCTTTGTGTTCTACTCTTCGGTAAGTGAACTGTATATTGAAATGAGACATGTTCGGGAAGTTATTTCCTTTTTCTTGATTAATTTCTTTGGTTAACTGATTATATATGCAATTTAAAATTGCTACTATTCCTTTTTGTTTTAAACTTTTAGAAATATCTTCCTCAGATAATTAATTTGTCTTCCTGTCTTGGTACAGTGAACATATAATATTTTTTTGTTTTTGTAAATTTCTGCCCTGTTTTGGAATTGGTGTGATGTCCTTGTCATTGTTTAGCAACATTACTGTGGAGGGCATAGGACTTAAAACAGAACATCTTAAATTCTCAAAACTAGCAAGGAATATGTATGTTTCATAAATACTGTGCTTTTTAAAGAAATTTTCTTGTGGTGCAAAGTATACATACAAAAATTATTTTGTACTTACAGTATAACAAGGACTTGCTGTTTTGAAAATAACACTTTTTCCAGATACTCTCTTAAGTCAGATCAGCATTCTGGGTACTTGGACCACATTATACATTATATAGACCTCTTTGCCCTAGACATATTTTTTCCTGAGCTGTACTCTGTTTTACAATAAGATATGTTTAGGATCAGCATAAGAAATGATCTTAATACCTTTCATTGTGACTACCAAAATATTGTAGAGGAGGTGTTCTTTTTATTACACAATGTCTTTTTATAAGGACTCCAGGGAGAAAGATTTGTAACAAAGAATAATTCTCTGTTTTTAGGCTCGCTTTCTGGCTCTCCTTTTCTCTGTCCTTCTCTCCCTTCTTCTCTGTCTCTGTCTCTCTTGCTATAATTTGTGCTTAAGTTAACTCAATTTCAGTGTTTTGTTGATTTTGGAAGTTTAGAGTCAACCCTAAAGATCTTTTCATTGTATCCTTTGAAAACCTTGTTGTTGGCTTCATTTTTTCTCTCTAGTTTTGGGAGTACTGTGGTTCTGTAGGATAAGCACTGGACTGCTAACCATAGGGTTCACCACTGATGCTCACTAACCGTTCTGCAGTTCTGTAAAGATTTACATCCTTGGATCGTTGTGAGTCAGAAACTGATTTGATGGCACTCAACAGCAACAACATTCTACTTTTACTTTTCATGCTTTTATTGCTCGTTTAATATATGCTAGCCCTTGTTTCCTGGTGTGGTGCTGTAGGTGACCTTAAGGTGAGTAGTTCAAACCGACCAGTGTTCCTTGGAAACTATACAGAGCTGCTGTTAGCCAGAACCATCTCGACAGCATTTAACAACAAGTAACAGTATTTTCTTTGATAGCCTCCTGAAGTTTGTCCAGATCAGGGTTGAGTCTAAATACCTCTGGAATGCTTGATTCACTGAAATGAAAACATTTAGTTGAATTTTGCACCATCTTGATTACATTAACATCTTTCGGGGGGGGGTGCGGGGGGGAGAATTTCACCTGCTAACTGCAAAGTTGGCGGTTCAAACCTCAGCAATCCGATACAGGGTCCCTATGAGTCAGAACCAAGTGGATGATACTTAACAACATCAACAGAGTTAATTAAGATCTTAAGGATTAATGAATTACTGGGTGTTTGTGGAGTCCTGGTGTGGCACTGCGGGCTAATTCACTGGACTGCAAGGTGGATTTGAACCATAAGGTCTGCAGTTCAAACTTACCAGCTGCTCCTCAGAAACCCTGTACAGGGTCACTGAGGTGGAACCTACCTGACGGCACTTAACAACTAACTACAAG